TGGTTAGTTAACACTAGGGGATCTGCTAATCAAGCTGGCCCTGCCAAATCAAAATTTCCATGTCTAGTAGAAGGCGTAAAGTTTCTGTAGTGCACATGAAACATATGTTGGGGAGGACAGTTTGGGTTATCCCTGCTTCAGGCAAAGGCAAGCCCATCTGCGGGATTGCTTTTGCTCAGGGACCAGGGTGCACTTGGTGGGTGATGAGAAAGGATGGGGAAGTCCAGTGTGTATCTCAAGGGGGTTTGATTTTGGGTGAAAATAGTCGATAAATTAAATTGTATGATGTTAATAGCGATATACTGTATCAATGGTATGACCATAAGAATCACCCAAAACTTTGAGCAAAGTGCCACGATGATGGAACTAGAACTGACTTCATCTGGTGCCCAGGAACTTCATCGAAAATTACATCTTTGACATCCAGACTGTGTGCATGGACCATGCCAGATACACCAGCTGTGAAAACTCTGGATGCAGTGTGCAACAATCCAGCAGCATGCACCATTGCTGTTGCCCTGAGATACTGTAATGATAGAGGGAACCCAAAGCCATGGACTAAATGAACTTGATGGACATTTTAGAGTGATAACCCATAGAGTAAGGGAATGATATCTGTGATTAATCTGGGCATGACATAGATGGTATAGAATAAGGGGTGGATAATGTCCTGGTTCTGGCAAGGATAGAGTTAATTTTCCCAAGGAGCCCGGACAGGTGCGCCAGGCTGGCCGGGAGGCTATTCCATACCATGTGATGTCATGCTCACCATAAAAGGGGGCTAGTCAAGGACGGGCATGTTCCCTGTGGCTCTGGGATGGGCTGAGCGTCCAGTAGGTCCTCAGTAAATTGCTTTCTGTTACCACCCATTGTGAATATCTTTTATCAGTACTGTTGTTGATTGTTTCCCTCTCCCTTGCCTAACCTGTCCTTATCCCAACCCTCCAGGCTTTGCCTTTGTTTTTCCATTCTCCTCCCCATCCCACCGGGGGAGGGGTGAACTAGCAGTGGCCTGGTGCTCAGCTGCCGGCTGGGGCTAAACCACATCAGCCTAGCAATGTCATGGGGCCTTTTCTAGCCTGGAGCCTCTCTTCTCTTTCCTTGCAAATCCCTTGCAAATCCAGCACAACCCTGGAGTATTTTCTGGTATTCTCAACCTGCTGAGGAGCTGTATAGAGAACTAAAGTGCCTTTCCAATTTGAGATTCCATTTTACGATTCTGTTCCTGCACTTGAATCAGGGATAGACATAGAATCACATATGCAGGACATGGTCCAGCAATCTGTGTTTGTTTCTGGTTATCCAGCAATAAACGTGGATGTCTAGGCAAGCAAAGATGTAGAAATTGGTATGATGTTTTGAAAAGAGTAATTCTGGACTTTGTTGTTTGTTTTGTCACAGCATTATGGTTTTCAATGTGTGTACTATCTATGTCATGCTTACAAGCAAGAAGTAAGAAGAGGTATACTCGGTGCACAGGGAAGTTATGAGTTTAATGTACATTTGTATAGCACATTGACCTCAAAACAGAAAATACAATATTGAGAGAATGATCATGCAAAAAGATCCCAATCACTGAGATTGGGATCAGCAATAATACGTACAGCACTAATACGGAAAGTTAGATTTGATCTGTGTAATTAAAACCACTTCAGCAACAGTATGTAGTCCACTTACTTAGACTTTCCAATTTCCCTAGGCTTTTCCATCTCTGAAGGAGACCAGTACCTTCTGTCAGTTCCTCCAGCTTGGCTTAGCACCCATGTGCCACTGAAGAATTTTTTGAACAGATGTTGTCTATCCCAGGCATAAATCCTAAATAGTTTAAAAGTTACTCTTCTACTTTCTTATCTGTTTTGTTTGGGTTTTTTGGGGGTTTTTTTGGCTTAAGACTTGGGTTCCCTACCAGAGTTTGTTTAGTTTCTATTATCATTTTTCTTTTCCTTTTTCTCCCTCTTCTCTATGTGTTTGGAGTGATGCAGATTTCCCTGTAACCTCTTTCATCTGTGTGTTTTCAGCTTCAGAGTTGCCTAACTGTGGTTGTAAAATGTGAGGGGAGACTAGATTTTGCAGTAAGATATTATTTTGACAAATAGTGTTTGGGAAAGTCCAATTTACCATCAACTTGTCTTATAAAATGATAGAGAATTACAGACCTAAGACCATAAAGGGGTTTTTTTGAGAGGAATGCTTAGAGAATGAGGGTTTTAACATGTGCAGAGAGACCCCTTCATTCTCCATCTGCTGCCATATTTATCATAACAGTACCAGCCTTCATGTGGGTCACTTTACTGGTCATTTGCTATTACTGCCTGGCTGTGTTCTACAATGCACGTATCGATATGCTAAGCACATATCATAGCATCACAAGATGATTCAGCCTGGCAGGGTGATCTGGGGAGTTCTCCAGTCCCAGCCCCTGCCCAGAGCAAGTTCAGCCTTGGGGTCAGACCAAACTGCTCAGGGCTTCAGCCAATTGAGGTGTAAAACCCGCCAAGGCTGGAAATGGTCCAACCTCTCTGGGCCCTGGCTCCACTGCTGGGCTATCCTTATGGGGAAAAGGCTTCTCCTTATCTCCAGCCGCAGCCTCTCATTTTTCAGTTTGTGCTGCTGCCGCTCACCTTCCTGCCGTGCACCATTCTGAAGAGCCCGGCTGCATCTCCTCCATCCTTCCCATCGGTGCCAGGGATGCTGTCAGGTGCCCCCAAAGCCACCCCTTCTCGCTGCTGACCCTGCCTCAGTCCCACAGCCTGTCCTCGCAGGGCAAAGGTCCCAGCTCAGAGCCATCTTGCTGGCATGCAAAACCAGATGCAGTACCCAGATGCGGTCTGGCAGGTGCTGAGCAGAGGGGACAGTCCCTGCCCTCCCCTGCTCTCAGGGCCATCCCCTGCTCACACTACTCTAGGCACCGCTGGACCTTGTTGCTGCCTGGGCACGTGGCTGGCCCCAGCTGAGCTCACTGGCCGCCAGGCCCAGGGCCATCCCCCACAGCTGCTCCCTGGCCCCATCAGTCCTAGCCTACCATCCCTGCAGGGCTCTGCCTTCCCAGGACAGGGCTTGCTGAACTTCATGGGGAACCATCAACTTGTTCCTTCTCCCCATCCATCTCCCTCTTAACAGCAGCCTGGACCTTGAGCATGTTGACTGGTCGCCCCCAACTTGAAGTCATCTGCAAACCTGGCACATGTGCCCTCCTTTCCCTCCTCCAGGTCACTGATGGAGATGTCAAATACAAGATGGATAGCATGGCACAGATAACATAAGCTAATCTTTGACCTTCCATGACCAGGCAAAGGTGATTTTGTAACTCCAATCACACTGCTCAGTTACTTTGCCAAAATATTTTTTTCCCTGTCCTTTAATATATATTGAAGCTTTTTTTTTTTTTTTCTTTAAGTCGGTTTTACCAGTTTTTATCTGTCAGATGAAGCAAACAAAATGCCTACAGCCAGGTACCCATCTGAGTTTCATGAGATACATTTGGAACAAGCTGTAGCAAAATAAACTCTTCCAAATAGCTACGTAGACTCCAGATCTTAGTAAGTTTTGGCAAGCCTGCAGTGGGTATCCACATCTACTTTAAGCTGTGTTCAACAGGAGACAAATCTGCAGCTGTTGTGTCGTTGTTACTCAGGAGTGTTTTGAAGCAACTAACCTAAAAAGTTGTAATGTTCACCTAGTAAATGCATTTATACAACTGTGTTGTGGATTTGCCAAGTTAAAGTTTTAGCAAGTGTTATTTCAGAGTCTGTTTCAAAGTTAGGAATTATCCAGTTATCCCACTCTCTACTCTTAATTTCAAATCCATTTATTTTTAAAAGGATAAAATTAGAAGCATTTCTGTCAAAAATACTTTGTTGATATTTCATGTAATTAATTGCTCCCTGTGCTTTGTGATCTTTTCCCTTTTGCTCTTTGCAGTACCCAGGAAGAGGTCTCATTTTACACAAGGCATCTTTTAGAAAAATAGCTAGTTACTTTTTTCTTCCCCTAAAGAGACTTGTTCTCCTGTTCACCCTCACTCATTATCTCAGAAATAGGCAACATCCTTCTACACCTTTCCTTTTCTATTTTTTTCCTGTTTCTAAAGAAAAATAAGTGAATGGTAAGGACTTGCAACCTCGATACAGGAGCTTGAATATCCACCTCATGTTGACAGGTTATCTGTTTAAAGGTTAGATATCAAACCTGCCCCATCATACACAAGGGCAGTGTTATCCTGAGTGACATTCTGTAGAAGTCTGGGGAAGATAAGAATTACAATCACAGATTATTTTGGCATTTGCTCCATGCTGTTTTTAAGTCTTTTACTGTACAAAAGATGCTATTGTACTTGTATTGCTATAATAAAATCCTACCCTAAAAAATTATTGTGAAATGATCATTATTGTCACATCCTGCTTGTCACACCTGGTCTCAGTATATGCTAAGAAGTGAATCTCATATTTTTTTCTTAAAAAATGAGGGCATGCCACATTTTATCCTTGAAAAGCTAGAAGTGCTGTGGAAGACTGTTACATGCCTTATCAACAGCACTATTAACTGGAAGTAATGTTTTAGAACTTGGGTGCAGAAATTATTGTCATTCCAGTGACAGGGTTATATTTTGCTGTCTTTTCCCAGTCAACCTTATTATTTGCCACAGATTTTCAGAAGTAAATGGGGTAACATTTAGTCTAGATAATTTCTGTGACCATTACACAAGACAGTACAACAGAGAATGTTCTTGACTACTGGAATCGAAGTTGCATTTTTTGTTCTTGCAATTAGAAAGTGTTGTTACTAGAAATTCAACTATATTGATAAAAATATCAGTCATTAAGAGGGCAGAAATATGTCATTTAATGAGAACATTACTGAAGATCTCTTCAGTAGGTTATAAAAGCATTCAATGTCTGTATGTCTTCTTAAAGAACAGAGTGTGTTTAGTATCTTATTTATGAGCTGAGCAAACAGTTTTTAGATTTGGAGATGCATGTAATGGTTTTAACACTTTTTTCTTGACTATTCCAGCCAATATTATGTAATACTAGCATTTCCCCATATGCTCACACGTATATACATGTTTATATTCACCATTTCACACATAGGTTATTAGACTGCTGGTATTCATCACCAGGCTTCTGTTCAATTGCATTTCAGTTCTGTGTGCATTATTTGCACTCTAAATCATTTTTTTCAATTCCTTGATAATTTGTAATGTGTTATCATTATTCTTTTTCTGAGCTCAGATTAATTTATTTCATAATACAGTTAATTTTTTTAAATTCAGTAAGTTCAATAAAAGTAATATTGTGTGACATATTAAGGTAATAGTTTAAAAGGTGTGAAAGATAAATGTTGAACTAGCCAAATAAACAATTAGCAACACTGCTTAACTTTTTCTTTAGTGCCTGGTCAGCCATTGAACTTCAAAGCGGAACCTGAGTCTGAAACGAGCATATTACTTTCCTGGACACCTCCACGCTCTGATACCATTTCCAGCTATGAGCTGGTTTACAAAGATGGGGAGCATGGGGAGGAGGTAAGTGAAAAGACTTTACTTCTTTTAAATACTCTTTAATGAGTCAGACATAAAATGTTGCAAAGGTTTAGAATTGATTGATTAATAACTTGCTTTAGTACAATTGCCTTGATGATTAAGTTTGTTAAACCCAGCAGTCAGCCTGATGATAGACTGCGAGTGTGTAAAGAGCAGGAAATGCTGTCGATGGTTACCAGCCACTGGAACTTCACTGCTGTTCACAACGAGTCATCCGCGGAAGTTGCATCCAGTTTCAGATACTGATCATGTCTCTCCAAGCCTGTTCCTCTACAAAGGCTTGGAAGCACAAGTGTTTTGGGGCATGGACTCATTAAGATTTTTTGCACTTATACTTGGACTTTGAAGTCTATTTTCAGCCTCAGAGAATTTTTGTTTCTCTTTGCAATCGTGTAAGAGAGTTTTTAAGCTTCTCTAATCTTTCAATAATCTTTGAGAAGAAAATAAGGGGTTTTTTTTCTAAAGATAAAAACCTGCTATGGAATTTTTCTGTAACGTTATTTCTTAAAGAATTTTCAGTTTCAGTGCCTCTGTGGTGTTAGCACCATAGACTTTAGAATAAACTGTTCTTATATGGAAACCATGTGATATTGCCAGGTGTTCCAGACAAAAGAAAGAAGCTGGCAGTTTCAGAAGGCAGCAGGAGAGTGTCAGCCTCATTGATTTCTCCTGCATCATCAACTCATTGCTGATGCTTCAACTGAGCTTATGTTTATGGCAGCTTCACACCTATACTGTGAATGCATAAACTTATTTTGTGGAAGGGGGCCAGATCTGTATTTCACCTCCAAATAGGATGCAGGTCCCTGCTTAGTAAGTTACCCTTTGGAAGAATTTGCTTCTTAATAATTTGAACACAAATTTAACTTCAAGGTTAAACCCAATATTGCTCCCATTATAAAACTCTGTAGTTCACTGTCATAAGAGGTACCTATAGGTAAGGCTTTGTTCATGGGTTATTGTCTGAAAAGCGTTTTATACTTTGTAGACAGCTATTACTTCCTCAAACAGTCAAACAATTTTTCTGGCTGTTTCACCCATTAAGCTGTCAACTTTAAAAAACATTGTTCCTTAATGTGTTTGTCAAAAGTAATGTATTCTTTTTTGTTTTGGTTTGATTTGGTTTTGGTACGATTTCTTTTTGCAAATTTAATTTTTTCTCAGTAGGGTTATCATCAGAGTAGAAAAGCATTTCTTCTACAGGGAATGTATGGAATTCAGAGTCAGTAAATATTAACCAAGACATTCTCTTATTACCTACCTTTAGCAACGAGTTTCCACTGAACCTGCTACATCTTATCGCCTGCAAGGCTTAAAGCCAAACAGCTTGTACTTATTCCGTCTAGCTGCACGTTCTCCTCAAGGCCTGGGTGCTTCAACAGCAGAAATCTCAGCAAGAACCATGCAGTCAAGTAGGTGTCTTTCCTTCCTAGCTTTAATCCCTTGTCTTTTATTTCTCAAAGAGACTAATCTCAGTACTTCAGAGAGGGAGCAACAGAGAAGAAGACAAAATGATAAAAATGCAGCATTCATGGTGCTTAATACAGCAAAAGAATGCTTGAAGTGTGTATTTTTGTAGGTGCATTGTGATCAACTTAATATATAAGTGCCTTTAACATAGTTTCAGAAAAAAACTCTGTAAAACAGAGTCTAAGGAGACAATGTTATGCTGTCATAATATTTTATTTTATATTATAATAGGATAAAATGTTTTATCATGCAATAGATGTACATTAATAACAGTCCTCCACCTATAAAATTCCACCTGCCCAGTCTGCAGATTTCCTGTAATACTTCTTTATTCCTGCAGCATCTCCGTGAAGTACAAAAAATTTGTAGAGTGGGTCAGGTTGACTATTTCAGACTATACCAAAAATTTCCTCATAACTGTTCTTCTATAGTAGCTAATCATTGTGATTTTAAGTTAGTTTTTTTTAATATTCAGTCATTTTTTACACCAGTAGAAAAATTGTTTTCTCAGTGGATGCTTATGCAAACAATGTCATGAAACGCATCATATCTGTCTGCAAATGAGATGCAAAAAATTGTCAGGGATTTATAGATACATTTTAAAATATTTAAATTAAGACTTAATTAAAACAGTCAGATATTCAAGGTTGATGTCCAGAAGTGCTTGTCTTGTCTGATAAATTATTCTTTCCTAGCAGTTTGCATTACAGTGTCATTTTAAAACTTAGTGCAATTCTATTTGTATTTGTTTTAAATTAAATGGCCTTTCTTAAAGTAATATTGTTCAAAACAGAAAATTCAGACTGTCCATTGACATGAGACTTTTTAATTTGCAGTTTATGACGTATGTGATTACACTATCATTCTTTGTTAGTGTTATATATTAGTAGTAATTAGTGTGACTGGAGATACAGTGCTGCAGACCTTCAACCAAAGCTAAATGTGCTTCTGAAGAATTTCTAAGGCATTTGGAATAAGTGTAAAAGGCAATTATATAACACAAGGCTAGCTTTAGAGATAGTGGCAAGGCACCTTTTAATTTCAGTAATTCGGAATCAATAATTTGATGAAGAAAAAGGTATTTATTTATTCTGGGAACCATTTCAGCTATTTGGCATGCTCATTCTCTTATATTGGGTGAAGATTGCTTAGACTGTGCATACAAAATAAAAATCTAGGCTCCAAGGTTGCATGTTCCATATATAAGAACATTGCCATTTTCCCCTTCTTGAATATAAGAATATGTTAGGCTTTTTTCATCCTTGTGTCTTCAGATAGTAGGAAAATCCAATTGATTTCAGTGGGCAGACCCTGGTTATTTGCTAAAAAGACTGCAAAATCTTTTTTGCAAAAATTGTGTATTTTAAGAAAAAAGTATATGCATTAATAAAAACTCGTTACACAAGTAGCCTACAGCTTATCCTTAGTTACATAAATGCAATATTTTGCATTTTCATAGTATAATGGATTAAAAATTAATAAACTTCTATGAGTTTATTATCAATATTCACCAGAATACTCTATTGCCTTTCATCTTGGTTTCAGAGAAAAATGCTACAGGGATTTGTTTCTTTACATACAAGATCCTTAAGGGAGATTTTACTTCTATTTTACTTCCTGCACAAGTTGAAGGTAGAAGGGGACCAAGATGTTTTGAGCACTTGATTACTAAATTAGCCTAAAAAAACCCCAAACCAACTAATTGTGATAATTCTCATCTGTTCCTCCATCCACCTCCTCTAGTTACTTGAAATGCTGGTACATTCCCTTCTGTTTTCCCTTCAGAAGAGCAGCGTACCATACTGAGTAAAAATCCATTGATCCCTGTGGAAGAGCTGTAGGGAACCAAAAGATACATGTGTAAATGCAATAGGTCACAGCAGGGTTCTAGGCCTTCTCCGTTGCTTTAATTTTGTTTCATGTGCCTAGTATGAGTACCAGAAATCCATTTGTTTCCTTTTTGCCTTAAGAAATGAGAAGAAAATAGGGTTGTTTTTTTAAAAAAAAACCCCATAAAGATCTTGCACCCAAAATCTCTGTTTTCCTTACAAGAGAGAAGGCTGAAACAGGAAAGGAATCCACATCCACTACTTCTGCCAGTGAATTTGAACCATGGCTCCTTTTTTTGATGCTCTCAGTTAGTAAGCATAGACTTGGCTAAGTCAAAGTGCATTTAAGCACATAAATGCATACCTAACTTTCAGTACTCCAATTGCCTCACTGAAAGCGATGGAATGACATACATGCTTAAATGCTCTGGAGCCCGGAAAAGGTAAATATACTAACAGACTCCTTCAAGTACAAATCAGTAAAGGTGAACATTTTTGCTCTGGAAGATTGGTGCTGGTGACAAGAGATGAAACAAAGTCAGAATCTCTCACCATTCTGATGTGCTAAGCTCGTAAACTCTCTTTGTAAAATGAATACTTGTTTTCTTGACACGTTGTTTGGGGGTAGATTTTTTTTTTTCCCTATAGAAGTTACCTACATTACTGGTAGGATTTAATTCTTTGCTAGCAAAGGTGTCTCCAAGCGGAGTTAAAAAAATAAAACTGACAGCTGATCTAGGGTAAGTACAAGTTACAGTCAGAATCAACAAGCCTGTCACTTTTTCCTGGTAGGTAAATCTTTGACTAAGACTTTCTTCATCTTCTGTTGACTGCATGCTCCCACTATGTTGCCTACAATAAATGTTTCAGTAAATGCTTTCCATTTAAACGTAATATACGGTTGACTTGTGCCAGGCAGACTCAGTTATAAAAAAAAACCTGAAAAAATAATAATTTGTTTATGATATGGGGAACGCTACAAAATTGGCAATTAATGGAGCAATTTCCAGCAATTATTGCAAGTTTTTAGGAATTCTTTAAAAAGATCATTTTTCTCAAAGAAAGCAAACCTACTTGAAGGGGATATATCCAAATTTGTATGTAAATACATGTCATGTTTCATTTAAAATGCTATAGCTTGCACTAATTGCAATGACTACAAAGATAGATCAGTAGTCATAGAAGTGTCACGTTTTTGTTTTATTTCAAGAAGAATTTTAATTACAGGTAGGTAATATTATTTTGAGGTTTCATTTTCATATATTTCCCCTACATCCTTTTTCACCATTTAGTTGATCTATTCATTTTCAGTTTCCTCATGTTAATAAGCCAAGGTGCATACGATTATCTGACGTTTTGCTTTTTTTAATTTTCTACTTTTTTGTTTATTTTTTATTTTCATTTGGTTGTCTTTTATTTATTTTTATTTTTTCTTTTGTTCATTTTTTTCAATCACTCCTATCCTTTCACTCAAATCCTCCTTTAACCCACTACTGAAATTAGAGCCATCAGCTCCTCCTCAAGACATTAGTTGCACAAGCCCCAGCTCCACTAGCATTTTGGTAAGTTGGAAACCTCCACCGGTGGAAAAACAGAACGGCATTATCACTGCATACTCCATCAAGTACATTGGAATTGATGGAGAAGATGTCAAGCCCCATGAAATTTTGGGAATTTCCTCGGACAATACCCAATACCTTTTGGAACATCTGGAAAAATGGACTGAGTACCGGATCTCTGTGACTGCCCACACTGATGTTGGACCTGGCCCAGAGAGCTTAGCAGTATTGATTCGGACAGATGAAGATGGTATGTTGCCTCCGCTACATCAGTTTGCGCCTCTATGACTCTCTGTCGATCTGCTGTCTTTTGTATAGCCTAACAGTATTTTTTTCTGCTGCTCTTTTTTTCCTCAATCACAGATATTATCACCCTTTGAGTTTTTTACAAAGACTTGTCCTTTCTACACCATTTTTATATTTGATATTTTTATTTTTTTAAACAGAAAGTACCTTTTTGTGAGTGACATGAATCTGCTGCCCCTTTGAGCCCATACATATCCTTCTTGCTCCTCCTTTAACATAAAAATAACTCTCAGGGGAAAATCTTTCTGCCTTTTCCTTATTTTACAGTCATTGTTATTTTTAAACACTTATGTCTATGAACTTTTTTTCAGGTTTGGTTTGGTTTTTTTAACTGCTTTCTGGTTCCGTGTTGTGCTTTTTGATTTGGGTTTTATTGGGTTGGTTGTTGTTTGGGTTTTTCTGAGTTTTGTTTTTGATCTTGGAAAACTGATGCTCCATACATTTTCTTTTCGTCCATGCTTGAAAGTGACAGAAGACAGCCATATTATCAGCCTCCTTTTTACACTACTAAAAAAAAAAAAAAAAAACCAAAAACCTCAACAACTTAGCAAATGAAAATAAAGGATTTTTTTTTTAAATCTTTTGTGTTTTTCTTATTAGTAGTATTATTATTTCAATTATTAAAATATCTCTTTGTGCTATAATGCTTTGAATCTCAAAGCATCTTCCTTGGCTTTTGTACATTTTTACATGTTTTTCTATTTCTCTAATACTCTTTTTTCTTCCATTTTTTGCATCAGTCATGTTTTTTGATCTTTTCACTGAAAGGTAGAGCAGATTGGTTGAGCATTTTCATTTGTTGAACAATTTGTATTCTTCAAAGAAAACATAGTGAGTCTGCCCTTTTTTTTTTTAAAAAAAAAAAAAAAGCAAAAGACATGGGTGGGACAGGTGCCTGTAATTCTCTTCTGTCCAATGATGTTGTTCCAGTTCCTAGTGGTCCTCCTCGCAAAGTCGAGGTAGAGGCTGTCAACTCTACTGCTGTTAAAGTGTCATGGCGCTCGCCTGTGCCCAATAAGCAGCATGGTCAGATCCGAGGATACCAGGTCCACTACGTGAGGATGGAAAACGGAGAGCCAAAGGGTCAGCCCATGCTGAAGGACATTATGCTGGCTGATGCACAGGTAATTAGGGCATTTTATTTTCTTTTCTAGGCCACCATGAAAGCTTTTCATGTACCAGAGAGTTATCCAGAGCTGCCTTTTTTTTCTTTCTATATTTCAGCCTCTCGGTTAACATTTTTAATCTCTATTTTAACAACTTTTAGTCAGAAAACTTACATTTAAAGGTTGTTGACCCAAACCTAGGCGCCTTTTTCTGTACAGGTGTGCAACTAAATGCTAAGCTGTGCCATTCTGCTTGTTCCCTTAAACCTGGAGACTTTACTTGATACCCATGCTCTGAAGTTTTAAAACATCAGGGAGATCTGAGCCAGGTCACAGTCAGTGTAGCAAACTGTGCACTGCCTGATCCACCCACCTGATATTTCTTTGTTTCAGTGGAGAACCTAGAATCATCAGAGGACTACATTAGCCCATTATTACAATGATTCTGTCATTAGCGTGTATCCCACCTCATCGCGCATTTCACAGGAAATGAATTTATTAGGGCAACTTTAGAAATCACCAAGATATTTATACTTGTCATTATTCATATCAGTAACTGTGCAATAAAAAGAGGAGCTTAGTTTGAATAGGTATGGGGTTACTTACATTGCAAAATTGTCTGTTTTATAAATTATGAGACATGATGAAAGCAGAAGCCTGATCACATAAAGTTTAAAAAGCTTCTAAAAATGGGATTTTACTAATTGGGATACACTAGTGCTCTGTAAAACTGAAGATTCCCTAAGCTCCTGGTACTGGAGGAATCACCCTGCATGGGAACTATTACCAAGTACACACATCTCACTGCTAGCTCTCAATTTATGGAAATCATCAACATAGCAGCAAGTAAAACATTAAACTTGCCACTTAAGCATTTTGTTTGAATAAGTAAGTAGGGTTTTTTTGCTTCTTTGGTTTCTTCTTCCAGTCTTAGTTCTAAATTTCAGCTCCGCAGACATCTTTTTTGAGAACAGGTCTCCTACATCAGCATTTTGCTGATTACCCAGTTCTCAAAGTATTGTCTCTGTGCCTGGAGATCTTTGTTGCTGTTTTACCTGCCAGTCTGTTTATCTATCTGTATCTACTTACTTACTTATTTTACAAAACATGATGTTCTTACAGCTTAAATTAAGAGGAGAGAAAGGAGAAAGAAGGTGGTGAGGTGGGAAGAAAAAGGGAAAAAGGAGAGGAGATGGAAAAGGAGATGCTACTGCACTTCAGTGCTCCCCTTCCTTGCACAGATTTTCACTTTCAACCTCTATGTGGTAGTAGTTTAAAATAATTTTAAACACTAGAAGGTCAGAAACAGGAGACTAGATGAGATATTGGATCCCAAATATCATAAAGGTAAAAGTCATATTTCTTTTTTTTTTGCCAAGTTTGGCTTTGATGTGCCTGTTCACCATTGGTTCACTCTGGATAGTCACCTCCTTTCTCCTCCCACCCCTCCTTCCTGCCTATCCTACTTCTGTGATACATGTGATCAGGGCTTGTGCAAGTATGAAGACCTTGATGGTAAAAGATCAGTGTGGTTAGATTTCAAGACTAAAAAATCCTGCTATTAATTTAAATAAGGCATTGAATTTATTTAGGAAACTCAAGCATATAGCCTAGTAACATGATTAAATAAACCAAGTAGCCTTTAATTCTACCTTGATAACTTTTACTAATATAATCTATTATAAAATATTACTACATGGTACAAGAAGATTCATTACTTATTTCATCTTTCAATGAAAGAAAAGTGGCTGGATTTCAGGGAAAGTAGAAATGGAATTAAAAATGCCTGGCCTGATTTCATTAACCAAATTCTATGTGATTCTATACAATTGTACCTGATTTTCCCAGACATCTTTCATACTTATTTTACTATTAAGAAGAAATTACCTCAACCAGGCTACAAATCTGTTCATTTCTTTTGTTTTTTTCCTTCCAACATTCTTTACTCTCAATCAGTGGGAATATGATGATACTACTGAACATGTGAGTAATTTTGACTGGCCACAAACAAACACTGTGTGTTGGGTTTGGCTTTTTTTTTTTTTTTTCTTTTTGCTTGTTTGCTCGTAGCCTCTTTTTGAGTGTTCTTGGGTTTTCTTTTTTTGTTGTTGTATGTGTCATTTGCACAAATGCATGTACCTAACATCAAAAGTTTTTCTCTTATGGCACTTTTTTCTTCTTTTTTTTTTTTTCTTTTTCCAGGGAGAGCAGGAGTTACTGTTACTTGCTTGTTCTGGGGTTCAGCATGATGCCAAAAAAATGTCTTTGTGTTTTCTTCTTTTTGATGGCTGTCACTAACTTTGCCTCACAATTTTCTCTTTACGAGAAGATGTTAGAAAAATAAAACATAAGTAGTTTAGAATTGTGTACCAATAGTCAGGTTTTTCTTTATTCATTTTAACGTTAATGTTTCTGTCTGTAGTTTAAAGTTGAAGTCAGTTGTGCTTTCTTTTTGATAATTTGATAAATGTGTTTTGTATGCTATCAGGAAAGCCAAATGTCCTGCAGTTTTTTATGGCTAAGTAATAGTGTTTAGTGTATCCAGATCACACTTAAAAGACAACGCTACATGTAATCATATCTCTTACACCAAGAAGTACTGTTTGTTTTAGATGAGGCTAATATCTTAATCACTGTTTAAAAGGATGGCAGGGTTTGGTGTTTCTTGCCTTTTACAATTTTATTCTATTAGTATCAGCTGCAGTTTCCTTATTTTTTTATTTTATTTGATCTATTTTGCCCATGTATTCTGATCATTACTTTGCTGTTTCTGTATTGCTAATAACTGACTGTAAATACAATGCAGAATTCTAATCACATCTGTACTGAGCTCATACCCACTGTCTTGAAAAATCCATTTACTGTGGGTAGTTTATAGTAACTTTTATGGCTGTTGCATCTGAGGAGTGTGTGATTGCACATTTGCTATTTATTCTAGATGCAAAAATATAACATCTCTCTGGCAGCAGCGAAATTTAGTGTAAATCTGTGCAAGCATGTGAAAATGCAAAAGAGTAGTCCAGTGGTTACAGACTGGAAGCTGATGAGTCAGGAGCTTTGGGCCAGTCAGTTGCCTCCAAATACTGTCCTTTTATTTTTGCATATAAATTTTTTTTATATCGTGAGTGTCAAGGCTTAAATTCCTCTGGCTGCCCTTATAGTATGGCATAAGTTTAGTTCATTTCAGGTGGCTAGCCCTTCACCATCTTCTGTGTGTGTGTACATGTGTGCGTGCACTTGCGTAAATAGATTCCTTTTGCTTTGACACTTACAATTTGATCTTCCTCCCATTCAGTTGTACTAGTTGTACTTGTTTTGTAGCTGCTGTCATTTGTTTGAGGGCTAATCAGATTTATTCTCTGACTATATTTTTAATGATGTTTTAGGTAGTTCTTTTACACCTGAACAGTGAGTTGTTTCTGAAGTCCTTTGAGATATTTAGATGTACAGTCCAACCAGTGACACAGGTTGCAATGAAAGTATTGCGAAAGTAACAAGGCTTTCTTGTTCAGCTAAATCGTTGTTACTTACAAAGTGTGTATGCTAATGGAACACTCTTCTTACTAGGCATTTTATAACTACGTCAGTGATGTCCTGTAAATGACTAAGTTAAACTGAGTTTCTCATATGTGCATATGTATGCATTTCATAATATCAGTAGTATTCCTGAGGGAAGGTATTTCAGAAGGCTTTATTCACTGTTCACACCACTAAGCCTTTGGCCTTGTGCCTTACACTACCTGAGGCATGCTATTTAGAAGTGTGCTGTCTTTTATTGCTTAAGTGAGCGAAACATCTTGCATTATTTCACACAAAACAGTCTGTTGGTGCTCTCAAATGCTTGCTATCACTGCCAGAAGCACAAACGTGCGCACACTGTATGTAATATATAGGGGTTGTCTGAAGGATTCCATGCTTTCCTGGAAAACAAACTGGTTTTAATAAATTGTTCTTGGTTTATTTCATCTTAGGAAATGATAATTTCTGGGCTTCAGCCTGAAACTACATACTCTTTCACTGTGACAGCCTATACAACAAAAGGTGATGGAGCACGCAGCAAGCCCAAACTCATATCTACTACTGGTGCAGGTAATACTTACATACCTATTAATGTCCAAATAAATCCTTTGAGTTTTCCTGCTAGTGTTTTGCTCCTACTATTTGGAAGTCTCCTGGGGTTTCTGTTTCAGTGTTTGGCCCTTCATTTATTTAGATGAAAACAGAACCAGTGTCCCCCTTTCTCCCTTCCTCAGTTCAAGATGCAGCCAAAATGCAATACTTAAGTTTATACTTCGTAGTAGCTCTTCCATTCTGATTCATGTCTTATTGGAGAGGAAAAAAATAAAAATTCAGAGCTGAGAAGGATATTTGAAAAATTTGTGAAGGACTTTCCTGATCTTTATGAGACCAGCAATGTTGCTGCCTGTTAGTAAGAACATTGAAAGAACCTATCTGTATGACAGTCACAACTTATCTCAGAAAAATGTGATTACTAATGCAGAGAATTTGAAAACGAAATGAAAGTCCAGCTTGTGAAACCCTGAAACCCATATTGCTTCCATGGCAATTAGAGGTATAAACTGGGGCAAAATACACCATGCCACTGTGCTCAGTCTGCAGCTGATCACAGGTGTTACTAGCAAGTGGGTATCTGACTGCATGACCAATTCAGCTGATTCAGGTAACACTAATAGGACAAACTGAATTGCTTTTAGATGAGGAACAAAGTTTTTTAAATTTAAAAAAAAAAATTGGCACAGCTTAACCAAATGATGTCACCACAGCCTTGGTGTGGCGTTCACCTACAAGTGTTCATTTTCTGGGTTTTGTAGAGTGGCTGTTTAAGGATATTGCATTACAATCACATGGAAAACTTTGTAGCACCATTACAAGCTATCTTAATAACAACGTATTTTTTATGCTAATATACAAAGTTCAAAAGGCATATGTATTTGTATTTATGGTGATTGACTCAATTTTTAAAACAGTCACTGAATGTGAAGCACATCTTGTACTAATACCAGAGATGTTTATATCCTTGTCTCATCAGCTTCCTTGGAAAAATCTCAGTCTTGGTGGTTAGATATATCATATAGTTTCATTTCAGATTTTAGAGTATATTCTAGTCATTACTCATGGCTGATGCTGAAACTTACCCTCCAACTTCTTATCTTTCCTGAATTCTCATGGTCTGGGAAAAAAGTTATATATACTTCTGATTTGCATTTGAACTTGATTGAAGAAACATGACACTTGATCCATGACTCTTTTTATAGTTTGGTTCCCAATTTAAATAAACACAATTATCTAGATTATGATTTGGTTAGTTTCTAGACATAAACATAGACTATGCAAACCTGCTTGCAAAACTTAAAGCTTCTGTGCATTTAGTCCTTATTGACCATTCATGTTTCACTCTTCAAGATCTCTGATGCTTCTACTTTAGAAAGGCGAACAAATCTCATGTCCCATAAAACCCTGAGTGACTGAAGAACAATTGAGGATCAGAGGCATGCCTGTAAATGTAATACATATTACACTGTTCTTGCTGTTTGCTTCACCTTGTGGACAAGTAATGTTTGTTCCTGATCTCTAGGATAACAGCTAGTTACCATTTTGCTCCTTCATACATTTCAGATTGTATGAACACCTCTTCACTTACTGTTACAGCTTGCTGTGGTTGAGCACTTTTTGTAAGAAAAGTTCATATGCAGGTTTTTAAAAAAGAAGACAATAAATATAGTCAATAGCAAGAGTTTCCATCTCGCTGTCTTTCTATAAGAATACATCAGGCAGGTAAAGGAATGATGCATTGATACCAGGGGTTTGTAGGTCTGAAATGCATCCTCCAATTCTCTGAGAGTTTCCATTTGATTTTTTCCCTAAAAAGGTGCTATTCAAATACTACAATAAATCAAATGAAGGTTCGACTTTCTAGTCTAAGTCAGGTGCAGCTGTATGAGAATGAGATAGTGTCCATAAGAGGTATGAGACTAAAGATCTAAATGTTTACTGAAGAAACTTACTATTCATATATTATTCAGGTGATAAGCAACTACTCATCTTTGTCCAGTTAGTGATACAAAAGCATCATTTACATTTTTAGATGGGAAAGAATCACCAAATTTAAGTGAGCCTACAGTACAGTAACTGCAGTTATTAGTGAAGTCACTGAATGCAGTTAATATTTTCACTACAGAGTGTGTTTTTGTCTTATATTTAGTTTATTTTCCTAGTATTTTAAATCAGATGGAAGAAAAACTGTTACTGAACATTTCCAACTTAAAATATTTGAAAGTTTTATATTCCTTGGAGCAGAAGTTACAAAATATGTGATTAACAAAACCTTGATAAAAATTAAGACTTACTAGTCAGTGATATCATACAGTTTTTATGGAGAATTTGATCAGACCTTTAATTTCTAGGTCATAGTAGTTGAAGAATCTCATAGCACAACAGCTTGTCCATTATTTGGAATTTACTCTCTGTGCTGGACAGCATTCTTGAATTAGAGATTTCAGCTAACAGGAGAAAATTTATGTTAAGATGGTGGTGTACTGTGTAGCAGCTGACAGAAGCAAATTACTTCAGGTAATTTGGCAAAGGCAGCTTGCATGAGCTTCTACTAGTAATGGCATGACATTACAACTGGTTGGTGTAATGACTGTTGCAAAGGGGTAAGTAAGAGATATCTTGCTGTGTAGTTGTTGCGGAGGTGGACCTCACTAGATCAGAGAATATATTTTTCATGTGCAATTTCACTTCATTTGGACTCATGGCAAAATCAAGTATTATTATCAGAGGTTTCTAGATAGAGCTATTCTATGATGCTACTGTATATTGGACTGCACAGAATCCTGCCATTTGTCCCACAAGACTGTAATATTCACAAGTGATCATACTAAAAGGAAATGTTAACTGAAAGGTATCTGGAAATAAAAAGAGAGAGAGAAAAGCATTTTCTTTCTCTATCAATAGTTACATGTTAACAAAAAGGAAATTCATACACTTCACAAAATCAGATAGGCTCCATATTTAAGAAAAAAAATAGTGACCAATGTTATTTACTATTTTAATCACAGGGAATTTTATTGGATAAGTAAGCTTTATTAGTTCCTCTGTTGTGATAAAGAGCAAGCAGTAATTTCTTTCTTTCTCTGTAGTTACTATCAAGGTTAAAAAATAGTTCTAACTGTGAGGTCTACCACAAGAAAAAAAAGCAATTTATCACATAAATAATTTAGTGACACCTTCCAGCAGTCTCTCCTCTAGAAAGCTGAAGGAGTTATTATTCTATTTGTGTGGACTTTTCTTCTCTTTCATATGCTCCATTGGCTTTAGTAATAGTTATAATATAGAGAAAAATATGGCCTGCAAAAGGCCTTCACAGCCTTTTCTTTGTTCCATAAGGGATCGTAATAATCGATGAGGAAAAGTCAGAACTTGTCTGAGAGATATTCTTTATGCAGCAGAAAGTGTAGGAAAAAACTTACAAAATTCTTGGGAATATACTTGCAGGTGAACTAGACATTTAAAAGGAAATATATTTGGAAAAATTATATAAAAACTAGCTAAAATTCTAATGCAATTAGAAGCAATGTCACGACTTGTGACAGACATAATGAGGAAAGTGCTTATTAAATGCAGAATTTTCTTCAAGCCATGCTATTCTTCCCTCCTTATTCCTAATTCATTAAAGAATGGTAGTCAGAACTTCTAACAATAAGAATCTGATTTACTGTTGCCCGAAAACTGAAAATAAGTAATAAAATCCATTGAAGCATTTAAGTACAGGAACCAGAGGTCACAGTGCAGCAGTTACATTCACATGGAAAGGTTTTGAATGTGGATGGAACTAATTAGTCTTCATGGAAGACTATGTTATCATGGTGCTACTACTCCCAAAACTATTCTAGTCTCTTGATCTGTCAGCCATTGGTACAAAAGGAACACCAAATTTCTAAATAGTTATGGATATGCTTCATTATCAAATAATTGATTGTAATAAAACCAGATTATTTTAAAATATAAATATTAATGAAAACATAAATGAAATATGTAAGTATATAAATTAATATGAATAAATTAATAAAGAAAAATAAATATATAATTTAAATGGAAA